TTCAATTGAGAAATGTTTATATTTAGGAACTGTGCAATGAACTCCAGGGAAGCATTTTTAGCTCAACCTTGAATCGTCAGCTGAGGCTTATTTGCCATGGGTCGTTGTTCCGTCCGTCCGTCCCCGTCAACATTTGGCTTCGGTCAAACGATAACTCAGGAACTGCTTTGACCCACATGTTTGAAATTGGGTGTAGTTGTATACTGCTATCTCGCTATATTAAACGTCCTATTTGGAGGCAACGCAGTTGCCTTACTTTCGAGCCAGGCGATTTTTTTGGCAAAAATGGGTAATTGGCATTGAGTCCAGTTCAGGTTCAACAGGATTTTTGGCTGCATTTTTGGTATGTGTAATGAATAAGGGGCTAGGGGTTTTGATATTTAAAAAAAATATGGCAAAATTAGGTAGGGTTTGGCAATTATATAGGGCATATGTATATAACACAAACAGTTGTGGTGTCACACTCGTGCCTGTTCGTTTTACAGATTTTCATTGACAATATCTTTAATGGGCAACAATGGGTATTTCCCTCTCCACCTGCAAAAAACGTTTATTAGAGTAAAGTTTCAACAAACATGTTCGGAAGCCAGCGATATAACCTATTTCTTTCAAACGGCGCAATCGCTACAAAGCGGGTATAGCGCCATCTAAATGGTCAGCAAATTGTGATTCATTTTGGTTTATAAATTATTAATTGCGATATAGCAGATGGCACATCGTTTCTATAATGTAGCGTCGATGTTGTTTGCTCAATTAAAACTGACTTCTCTTACTCACGTGCATTTTTGTGTCCTTTTTAGACTCATCTGACATAGTCAGATGCAGCTTGAGAATCGCATGATCCGTCGTTCCGTTTCGTGCGAACGTTCCGTCACCGTTCGTGCGAGCGCCGTCCGTGCGTCCGTCAGCAGTTGGGCACAATCTAAACGGCTCGACGTATGGGTCACGATATTCGGGACGTGGGAGGTAATCCGAAACGAGTTGGAGAATGTTCGAAGCTGGGGGTCAAAGGTCAAAAGATCAAGAGGTGTAAAAAGAAGGGCGAACAATTCCCTCCTTAAACTAAGGTATAGGGAGGAAAGTGCAGAATTGCGGCACAAATCTATAACGACTCGACCTAGGCTAGTGATAGTCGGTGTATAGCCATCATGGTAGAAATCCATCACTGTGCCGAATTGGAGAGTCACCAGTCAAAGGTCCAATGGGGCACAGGGCAAGATTAGACATTTTCTGAGGACATGGTTGAGCCGGAGGCGATATTGGAAAACTTTTTTTGTTTCAGTGGTGCCCTACGGCATTTTATTGGCTTTATTGAAAGCGACATGAATGTGCTTTCCAGCTGACGGGGCGAAGAGTAAGTGTCTGATAAGCCTTTTGACGCTTCAAGAGAAGGTTAAACATGGATTTGTTGACTGTTACAAAGAGTGAACTGCTTTGCTTATTAGAGGCCCCCTCCCCCCACCTCCCCATTCCCCTTCCCCCACCCCTGCCCCCCGCTCCCATTCTCCCATCTCGCCACCCCTCTCCCCCCCACCCTCGCATCTGCGATAGTTGGGGCGTGTCCGTAACAATGATGTGTAAGGCAACTGCGTGTCTTGCATATCTGCGCTCTAACAAATGTGGTACTACGCACGACTGAAAATTTTAGCGTTTATTAATCGTAGCAACAGACCTCAATGACGCAGACGGGCTCTGCGGCCTCTGTTTGTGGTGAGCTACAGTGTGCATTGACAGTTTTCATTATTTAATGAAATAAAGCTGCATTGTTGCTGGCAGCATCCTCAGGTTTATCATCTGTTTTGTGATATCTCGAAGAACATAAATTTTAGAATGTCAGGTCATTGTGAAAATAAGACTCCATTCTAAATTTTGATGTGGAAATGTCAATTATACAAAACTCAGAAGAGTCAGGTTGCAGTTGCTGTACAGTGCCATGGTAGGCATGGACCTCCATTTTAACACCTGTGCTTGTTTAGCATTGTATGTATGGTGTTATATTATTTTATTGAAATATCGGCAAAATGGCCAACTTCGATAATATCAGTGAAAGCTGAAGCGTAGCTCTGGTGAACTTTGACCCAAAAGATTTTAGCTAAAATGTCAATATACACTGAAGGAAGGACGCTGCTGGTGTCCATATCTTGGGAGAAAATTAGTGCCTTAGTAGAAAAATAACGCTCAAGTTTTGTGATAGTGGGTAGTTACAGTACCCAGCAGTAAATAGCAATGTTAGCAGTTAGGTGCAAAAGAACACTTACACTTGTAATGTGTAAATTGTGATGTGGCACATGTTTATTCTCATCGCGTAGGCCAGCCAAATGCAGGGTTTTTCTCTGGGGTGCTGTTAATATATTTTCTAAATTGCTTCCTAAATTTCAAAATTTAGTAAAAGTTGAGTTGACACAAAATTTAGAGCAATAGCCGCTGCCCTGCTTTAATTCATTTTACGTGCTGCCATATAGTATGTGTATAATTATTTTCAAGTTCTGTCAGTAGGCCATCCTTGTTTTCTCAAGTGAGTGATTTTACATTGATTAGATTTGCTGAGCTCGCCCCACTAGAGCATGCGTGACAATTGATCGGAAGTGCCAAGATCCTTCTAACTATCTAGCAATCGCGAAAATATGAAACCACATGGCGCCACTTCATCTGCTGTGCTATTTCGAATCGTGCAATCTTAAGTAGCAGACGACCAATTATTGTCAACATTTATTTGCACAGAAGCAGTGAATGCTTGATTCAATAACATTAAGTAAATGTTTTTTCCTTAGGGTATTTGGCTTCGCATGATCAATAAAGTTGTTAGCTTGTTCTGTACATCAGTAAAAACCGAGTGGGGGCATAATATTATGTGGCTATGCCGTGGCATCACCGTGCTTTCTTGATAGGGTTCGCTAACAACCGTTGAGGCAGAAGGTGAGGCTTATTGCTTGAACGACATTTATTGCTAGTAATGACACCTATTGTGTATTGTATTTTTTAGCTCACCATTGACATTCGTCAAAGATGAGCTATTGCCATGGTCGTCGTCCGTCGCACGTCCGTCGGTCCGTCCGTCCTCCGTGCAACATTTGGCTACGGTCAACGATAACTCGGAACCGTTGACTGCACATGTTTTGAAAATTGGGTATAGTTGATTACTGTATGGCTCGCCATATTTTTAACCGTCCTATTTTGGAGACGCCAGTCGACGTACTTTCGAGGCCACAGCAATTTTCTTGGCAAAATATGGAATTGCATTGTCCAGTTCAGAGTTCAACGGATTTTGATATTAAAAAAAAAAAGGAAAATTAGGTAGGTTTGCAATTAATAAATAGCACTATTGTGTTTATTAGACATGCAAGATTAACAGTCTGAGGTGTCACATCTCGTCTGGTTCGTTTTAGCAAAGATTTCATTGACAATATTTTTAATGCAAATTGGTATTTCTTCCACCCCTGCCGATAAACGTTTATATTAGAGTAAAGTTTTACAAAACATGTCGGAACGGGTGCAGCAAAACCTATTTCGATTCCGATCGCCTTGGCAACTTGGTAGCCGAAGTGTGACGTCACGGTGGCATGACAACGAACGCCACATGGTTCTAAACAACCCACTGCTCCATAGCATTAACTGCCGTGAAAATGTTGTGCCTCACGTAAGAACACCCGAGGTGTGTGTGCTGCAGACAGCGGTAAGCATCGTAGCAAGTCGATCTTAACAATGTATTTTAAGTTATTAATTTTATTTTTTATTTTATGATTATGATTGTTTGTTTTCGTTTGCTTTCACTTCCATCCTTTTGAATTTATAAAAAGCTGCAATAATGACTCTCAGAATGATGGTTAGAATCGGGTACAAAACACGACCATTTTCACGCAGTTAATTGTTACCAGAGGAACATATGATTGTTTAGAACCCAGTGGGTTCGTTGGTCATGCCACCGGTGACGTCCATGCATTTGAGCTTCTATGCGCTAAGTAAGCATCAGAGCGGGTATAGCGCCATCTACGCGTCAGCAAATTGTGATATCATTTTGGTTCTATACAATTATTATTGCGATAATACAGATGGCGTTATCTTACGGTTGTGTGTTTATTCGCTCTATGAAAATCCTCTCATGCAACATTAATCTTTGTACAATAAGTTGTTGTTATTGTGCAGGTGATATTCGACCATTGTCCGTGTAGTAGCAGCACGTGGAATAGCGTATCCCTCGTCATCTACACGATTACACATCGGGAGCTCCGCTTTTAGGCAAGTGGTAAATCTGAATATTATAAGACGTTAAATGGCGACGAATCATTTTAGGTTTACCGCCATCACTCGCCACATCTCAGACTTCCACATCTCAAACATTATTTTTCACTATAAAAAAAATATATAGCAATAATTATCAAAGTAATATAAATGGGCGTTTACCCTAACCTACCATATATAGCTGCTTCGTTTCTATAAATAGTACGTCGACTGTTGCTGCAATTAAAACTGACTTCTTCTCACTCACTCCATTTGTGTCCTTTTTGTGATGAGCTACAGAAGTTGACAACTTTCATTTACAATGGCATGTGGCAGTACGATTTTTATTGCATAGTGGTGGCTAGAGCTTCGTGGTGGCTAATCATTTAGGCTTGATGCAGGCATACCGTTTCATCCGGCTACACTCAAGAGAACCAAACCAAATGGAAACCAATGATCATGCATCTCAATGAGCACTGTGCAATTTTTTATACCCT